AAAAAAAAAAAAAAAAAAAAAAAAAAAAAAAAAAAAACAAAAAAAAAAAAAAAAAAAAAAAAAAAAAAAAAAAAAAAGAAACCAAGAAACCTTAAACAATCAATATAAAGCTTAAACACCGAAGAAAAAGCAAAGTTTTTAAAATTAACAGTCGAATTCGGCGCGTCTTAATATTTATTTGACTAATACAGTACATACTGTATAATAATAAACAAAAATGTCGTTTATTTTACAATGTTCTTAAGATTATTTTTATAAAATGAGAAGAATTTTTTGAACATTTTACTTAGAATTACGAACCAAGCTGTAAATTAAAGTAGTTACAAAACATCATAAATATGTTTTATAAACACAAAGTTGTTAAAAAAATTGAAGATTTTATTAAAATATTAATCAAAAGCTTTAGCATTAATTAAAAATTATCACGGCACTGGTTCAATCAATGCTTTTTATAATATTAAAAAATTTCGCGCCTCTTCCAAACCCTTGAAATAATATGTTATAATTCGCCTAGCATTGTTCATACTTTATTCTGTTTAAAAAAATTTTAATTATAGTATTCCTAGTTCTCATCTAAATTTTACAGATTTCATGTTTAGCTTCGCTAATAGATTGTTATTATTCCATCTTTTATTTTTCATGAGAAAAAAGTTCACCATATTCCAAACTTCACAGAATTGTATTAACGACAATTAATCATACAACCGTTATAACAATTATCCCACTCACGTCCTTTTAGTCCTTTACATTGTTTTTTTGCATATTGATTTACAATTAGCATTTGCACGCACATTCATTTCATGAGATGATTGATAAGCAAGGCGAGCGACCTTGAACTTAGTTGAACGTTTTGAAGAGGGTAAATTTGAATTGGATTGAATTCTATTTACGAGAGGATGACCGATGGTGAGAGAGATGGAGATAATAATAATAAATAAGTGAAAGATGGTGTAAAAATTCATATCAAAGAATTAGACGAAAAGCAAGAGAATCAATGATTGGCAATGTATTTATATTAACGAAAATATTAAAAAATCGTAAATTATTTTCGATTGTGAAAATTTTTTCCGTTTTTTTTTTATTGATGGCATTTTATTCAGTCGTCTACGTCGATATTACATAAGATCATTTCTTTTGGTAATCACATGGTGGTTGTAATTTGCGAAAGTTTCTAACGCTAAGAATAAAAATTTATGTAATTTTGCGTATTATTTAAATATTCAATGGATTATTTAAAATCGTAACTACAGTATAACGATAATGATTTGCCGCATATGCCAAATTCACACGGTTGATATACTGATTAAATTCTATCGATTTTAATACTTTATCACTCGATCACCCGGCATCACTAAATGACTATGAAAAACACAAATAGGATCTCGCCTCGCTGCCCACGTGGTCTACAGCCCTTTCCTAGTATCGCTTACCAATTTTACCCCCCTTTTCTCTTTCTTTTGATATCCGAACTGTATAGTCGGGCTATCATAATACCAATTTTTGATATCCGGGTTGTTTACCCGGGCTATCGACAACTCCTACAACCCTAACTATCTCTACTTACTAACCACTTTCATCCTGTGGTGGGAGGGTGGGTCTCGACGAAGCTAGACTTGTGTCGAGCTAGCAGCAAAGACAAAAGAGAGAGAACGAATTTCCAAACCTCACTTCTTAAATACTCAAATACCATGACCTCATACTTACCATCGTTAACTCAATCAAATCGATACTCATAGCACAATACATCATACTTACAGAACGTCCATTGTTGCCCCTTAATCAAATAAACTCAAACACATCGAACAATACATCATACTTACCAAATAACTCTCACCATCACTGACTCAATCATACCAATACCCATTAGCTAAAACCTATACTATGACCCGGTGTTTCGGGTTCTGGTTGTGATCTCGTGACAAATGGATGCCTCGTGACTTCGTTCACGGCATCACACACTCATACGTCTCGCTAGTGATACTAAAATAAGGTGATATATGGGTTATTTTTGAATCCCGACCAAAAAGTTATTACATATATAAAATTGGTTCGATATTGACCCTTCCATAAATTGATTAAGTGAAAAAAATTTTATGATTAATTTTGATCTCGTAACATCTAGCATATACGATTAAAATTTTTATTTATATTTATTTCATTCATGAAGGTCTAAAATTCCAAATTGACTTCATAAAATTTTATCAGCTTTTTAGAATATATTCATACTATATAACGAACAAGTTTCATATGTGGATACGATCATCGTTAGATTGATATTTGATAGGAAGTATAATTTCGGCCACCAAAGCGTATAAGAGGAGCATGAGTTCTCAGCTTCGCTCCGAACATCAAGTGATATACAAAGGATAACTATGTAATGAAAATATTTGGGACTGAAACACTACTGAAACTGCAATAACATTTCAAAAATCTAGCAACGGTGATTTTCATAAAAGATCGAGCAGATATTATCAGCAAACAGTTTCTTTTTTTGCCAAATCAAAATCAATTGTTAAATATAAAATTAATAAATTACTATGGATTTTTTGACTCGAGAGGATGAAGAAGAGAACGGTGGAATGAGACCTTAAGATCTAAGTTTATAGTTTCGAAAAAGTTCGACCATTAATTTATTAATAATACTCTATTATTAATTCAGAGACTTAACCTTATTTTGATCAACTTGTAATCAACTATCTTTTTTATGATAAATCTATTTCGTTACAATTTAATTAAAGTCTCTGAATAAGTCTCTCTGGATTGGAGAATCCAATCCGCCATTCAGATACACAAACACACCATTAAGACAATGTTATATAACATACAACTAAAAATTATGATCCACAAGTAAAATGATATATATATTTTTTTATTCAGCAGCCAAAGTTGAATATTAGATAATGGTTTAATGGTGTTGTCTGTTCTTATGATGCTCTATAATAAAATGGTAAATATGTGAGAAATTCATAAAATTTACAATAAGTTCCATTCTCGTTCAAAGAAATTTACTTACTTAAATGAAGTTCATAATCAATTGCATAACTAACAAGACCAACACCCAAAATAATATGTAAAAGAGGAGCAGGCGAGCTGGTTCGAATGTATCTATACCAGTATCTTCCAAGTAATCTAGGCATCGTATGAGGTATACCTTCAACTAGGGGTCCCTTTGGCAGCTTACTGTAAAGGTCACCAAGCTGAGAAAAGGCTGCTGCACCGCCTGTTATTCCGGAAACAGATAACTTGGGAGGAATAAGAGACTTCGTAGAACTCATTGTTTTTGTTTCTGAATAAACCGAAAATCTGGATTAGTTCTTTTTTTTATTGGCTCAAAGTTTGAATCCTAGCATTACACCCCAAATTTCTCTAGCCAACCAAATTTCAAGATCAGGCATAACATAAAAAAAAATCTAATTTTAACTGTATACAGTATCTGATATCAGATATATATGAAAAATAGATTTCGAATAACAAATAATTCAGCACAATAAACCATGAGTTGCCACGAGTTTAACACTACTCATGCACTAACAAAAAGTTTCCTCGCGAAACCTCTTTCTAATCTAATTTAGATTTTTTTTTTATAGAAATCTTTAGATTAGTAGCGCTAGAAAAAAAAACAAAGCAACTTTATCTAGAAATGTGATTCGAAGCTAATATCTATCATGAGTGAAACGAAATAATATTTTATTCCCTTAAAATAATTACTTTTTTGGTTACTAACCTACTTGATACTAATACAAAAATTCATGGCTGTTATCGCGAAAGGTCAATTTTAACAATTGATTATCGTTCTAACGGGCCATCAATTAACCAAAGTCTTGATTGTTATCCCAAAAAGCTATATCCGAAAATTTAATATGGGACGAAACGATCAAATTTGGACTAGCAGAGAAACGGAAATCATTTATCTAAAAAAAAAAAAAAAAAAAAAAACTATAAATAAATTATGTTCTAACGATTATAAATTTTAAATTATTCCCCGTTTTACTAATTGTTTTTTAAGGGGATTTACGTGTTATTTTTGCAAGGCTTAATTTAAACTCAGTTGGGAAATAACCTCCGTCCGGCCGTCAATTAATAAAACAGGGGAATAATTCATTTATTCCCCGTTACGGGAAATAATTCATTATTCTCGCCGTGCTAAGGAATAAATAGTATATATATATGCTATTAATTCAATTACATTATAATAGGTAAAATGTGCTCCGATTTAAGACAAAATACTCGGCTAATACGTACGAAGACTAAATGTTATGCAATTCTACAAAATAACAATAACGATCTAATTGAATCATTATGATTTCGGTTTTGGTCAGAATTATAAAAGATCGATCGGCCTGTATCACATTAATGCGGGCCAAACCGACTTTGATTCCCCGTAAAAACAGGTCAAAATTGAATCCAATGTTGATCTTGATGTTAATCTAAACTTTTTTTTTTATCTAAAAGTTGACAATATCTAAATTTTTCATGATAAAACTTTTATTTAGATGATTGAAAGCTTTGTATGTTTTCACATGATTTCACAATTATTGATTTCACAATTGAATTGGGAATAACTAATAAAACTAATACTGTAATAATACGAGACAATTTTCTTGCGCAATATTCGATATATTTTATACGTATACGTATTTTATTTCAAAGATATTTACACGTGATTTCTTTAATACTTAATGTATTTATAAGTTGTTAGTTAATCAAGAGAGTTGATTTACTTTGCAAGTTTTTTTCACATATATGAAATAAATTTTCAATGGCTGAAAATCAGAGATTAAATTTCATAAATGAAAACTTATATGATGATCGTAGCAGCTTTAATACAGTAATTATTAAGACGTGTGTTATTGAAAATTTTTTATTATACATTATAATAGACATGTGAATTATTTAAATGCGTATTATGAAAATATTTTTTCTACATGTAAAATAAAGCCACATGTTGAAGAAGTTTGTAACTTGGACATATAAAAAATCGGCAATTCATAATTAGAAGCATTGAAAACAACAAAATAAATATTAAAACCAAAAAACCCTTTTACCAATTAACGTAATCCCCCGAAAAAAAAGCATAAACCCAGCCTAAAATTCGCATGAAAACTGCGGAGAATACATTAATAGTATTTGTTAAAAAAAAAATTAATCATTAATAATAATAAAAGAATACATAAAAATCTCAATGAAACGAGATTTTAAAAGTGATAAAAATATTCGTCAAATAATAACAATTGTAATAATAATAATAATAAATTAATCAATTAATAATATTATTTAAATACGAACGTATTACAATTGTTACGTTTTGAAAAGTATTGATATATATACATAATATCTTGGTTATTAAAGAATGACGACATTATTGATATACGAAATTGATAATATACGAAAGTGTAAAAAACAAAAAAAAAAAAATTTGCCGATTTTTTAACTATATATATATTTTTTAATTATACACTATTCACGCTAACGCATTTTCTGACCCATTCAGAACTTCTTAACTCTTTCAATATGAAATGTGCAACATTTGCTCTTGAAACTTTGTTATAGTTCGGTTTCACATTTACCATATACTCGTTTGTTAGTTGACCATTTGTCAACTTTCCAGGTCTAATAATTGTCCAATCAATGTAACTATTATTATTTTTTATAATTCTTTCTTGAATTGCTTTGTCCTGCAAAATTTTACCAGAAAATAAATTTTCAAAAAGCTTTTGTATGCCATTTGTAATTTGTGGTTGTATAGTGCAAGAGGCTTTCATTATTTTATCTTCATTAAAATCGTCAGTGACTCCTTGTGACGTTACAGCAATTAATCGTCTAACTCCAAATCTTTTCATACTTGAAATGACTAATGTTTGACTACGTGAACAGACATCAATATCTGAAGCAAATAATGGTTTTGGTCCTAGGCAATTTATAACGGCGTCTTGATGTTCAATTACTTTATCTAAATCTTCGCGACGAAGTACTGATCCAACCACTATTACAAGATTTGGATTTCTTAATTGACGTCGTGTAAATGGTAAATTAATATCATTTTGAACCAGTGCTGTTACGTGATACGAAGCTTCGAGTGCTTGATTGACTACTTGAGCTCCAAGGCCACCTGTTGCTCCAAGAACTATTTATGAAAATTTATTAAAAATATTTATGGAAATTTATTAAAAACATTTATTCATTAAATAAAGAAATACATTCAATTAATGTGAACTTAAATGCCTTACCTAAAATATGTTTTCCGCGCATAGTGCTTGGAACATAATCATCGGGGTCAATATTGTACATCAAGTTTGGAATAATGGTTGGTGTAAGGAGTACCATTTGATATTTTGGTTGAATCATAACATCGATAGTATTATTCTTATGAGGTTGTCGTGATTTTTTTGAGGTAATTGTCATTTCTTTATTTTTAGTTTTTGATTGTCTACTCTGAATATTTTATTATTATTATAATTTTTTATTTCGTAACTATAATATTCGTAACTAATAATATTCGTAACTAAATAAGTTTTAGCAGGTCAACTGCTTAACGCTTAAAATCAATCAAAGAGATTAATATAAGCGATAATGAAACCGAAAATAATGGACAGAACAAAGAAAATGAAAGAAATGAAGAAAATGGTAAGATAAAGAAAGTCAGAGTGGATGCGTTGTGAGAATGAAAAATTGCGCGACTTAACGTAATTATGTACAAAAAATTATCTCAGGTGAATGCAGAGATACGGAAATAAGGACAATGCGTCATTCAATAATAAACAATAGTAAAGAAGGAAAAGGGTTTCTAGGTTTTAAAAATGGAATACTTATTAAGTTGTTGTTTTCCGAAAACTTACATAAAAACTTAAATCAGGTAAGTTTCCCACAAGTTTTATTGTGGGTGTACCATAAAAAATTTATTCTTGTTGTATATATATATAAATTTTATAAATTTTCTATCTCATAGTCTTATCGTTTCATTCGTCCTTATTTGGAAAGAAACTAAACGATCGAAAAAGAAATTTTGTTTTCTACTTTCCATTATTTCGGCTTATGTTTATCATTTATGTTATTTGTGTTACTTTATTCTTTTGGCTTATGTTTATCATTTGTGTTATACGCAGCTGTGTTATTTTTATTCTTTCATATATTACCGTTACACAAAATTTTAATCCTTGTCATCTAAAAATCTAACTCTGAATTTCTTGTCACCTAAAAAATCCAACCTTCTAAGAATCATTAAATAATTATTTCGGCCTTAAAATATTCATCATGCATAAAACAATGACAAATACTGACTTTCATTGCATACCTTTACTTACCTTTACGTTTGATAGTGTTTCTATTAACGTTTCACTAGCATTTACGATTAGATGTGTTTAATTATGTAAGATTATATCCATTATAACATCTCTCCAAAATTGAAATATTCTTCCTTCGTAAATCATCGATTAATTGTTTAATGAATAAATAATGTGTACCAATTAAATTGAAAAAAAAAATGGGTATCAAAAAAAAAAAAATGTTTTCACTTCACACGTGGTGTCTTATATTGACATTGTCGCTATTTCAATAAGGAAAAGGTTTCAACTTTATTAACCAAAATTGCTAATAGAATTATATGATTTCTTTTTTCTTTTCTCTTTTTTCTTTTTTGACATGTATAGTAAATTAAGTTAGTTTATGAGACCATCATGGTCATCCACTTGTTTTACGAATTTGAACATGAATACCTGATACAATTCAGTAATTGAATGGATCAACTGACATTATGAATGAAATTGTTGATATATCCGAATTTAGTAAAAGAAGTTAACTAATAATAGACTATTTGTTTTTTTTGACATCTCTTTTTAACCCATTTCATTGACATTGACTTAATTTGGGTATACCAACCTTGTACAATACTCGGGCGGAATGCCAATTAAAGCCTTGTATATTTTAATTCTCTTAACTAGTACGTAAAAAATCTACAATTTACGTACGTAATACCTAAAATACAGAAATATGAAATATATATGATTTAAAAAAAAAATAATGGCAAATCAGGTGATGATTTGCATACGAGTTATGCAAACATGCGAGTCCGTTTATCCACTTTCTGGATATTCTAGATTTTCACTGAGTATCCAATCAGACGGCTATTATCCACGATCAAATAAATGTTTCATTTTTATTGTCAGTTTCTAGATTGTTTATTTTTTAGTAGATCGTAATTTTCTTTTAATTTGATGGTCTCTAATATATATCTTTTAAAAAAAATGATATTCTTCTATCATCATTAGTTCAAACTATATTCAGTATCTTTATATTTGGCTAATCTTTAACGTTAAGCCTTATTAAACATAATTATCAAATTTAAAAAGAGGTTTGTTACAGAAAATAGTTAATACTTTTTTTTCATATTAATATTCATATAATATTCATACTGTATAATATTCTTATATATTATTTTTTTATTATGATATGACATTTCATAATAATTGTAGAAAATTACAATGAATTAAAGTTTAAATTGACTTACGTGTCATTATAGAATTTTTTAGCGTGTCTTTTTTTTTTTAAAAAAAAAAATCCTATGATTGGCTAAACTATTTATAATAAATCTAAGCAATACTGCGTAAAACACTTTAAACCAGCAAATAAAACCTAATACTTTTTTTAAAATTAGTTATAAAAATAAAAAATTATAGATAAATAAAAAAATTTCTATAAAAAGGTAAGCGAACGAAGTTACAAAATTTATTCTTTAATTTAATAAAATTTGAGTTTGCTATTGCTTTTTAAAGTTATTAATAAAATAAAAAATATAAAGAAATTAAAAAACATAATAAAAAAGTTAAAAATATAATAAGATTTTAAAATATTAATCAATCAAAATTTTATTGAAATAACCCGGCAATCGGCTTTTAATTTTATTTATAGATTTCTTTAAAAAAAAACCACGCGGCTAGTAAATATAGTCAAAAATTTAACTCGGCTGGTTATAAGAAACAATTAAATTTGTATGACCTAAACTGTATAAAAAATTATCCAATTCAACTTTATATTGTTTATACATACTTATACATTATCATTTAGCCAATCATAGGATTTTTAACAATAGATACGTAGAATCTGAATTAGAATTATTAATAAATAAAAAAAATATAATTAGATTTTAGATAAATTTTATTTTATTCTGATTGAAAATTGGAATTAGTTTAATTAATTACTACTATACATTAGTTAGCTGACTGAATTGTTGTTAATTACGTAAATTATTTTTAGTCAATTAAACTAATTCTAATCTATAATTGTCTGAAATTAGCTAATACTAGGCTTACCGACAATTATTTCTCTGACATAACATTTTACCGACAATTATTTCTCTTACATAACATTTTCCCGACAGCCAACCATTTCCCCGACATGACCATTTTCCAACATGAATGACGTGATTGTTGGGGAAATGGTCATACCGGGAAATGATTGTCGGTAAAATGGTTGTCAGGAAAATGGTTATTTCGAGAAATAATTGTCGGGAAAATAGTTGCCGGGAAGTGGTTGTTAGGTAATTGTCGGTAAATCCTAATGCTCATATATAATAGTAATACTATATATATATTTATAAATTTAGCTATATAGTATTAAATTAATATATATATATATATATAATATACAAAATTCTGACTAATTTCTACTACAAAATATTTTATATTAATTATATTAGAATTTTACAAAAAAATTTTTGTTAAATCACAAGATAGTTTTATAAACTAAATATTATTCAAAATTTTATCGCATGTATATGTAAACAATAATCGTGGATCTATGTAACAAAATTTTTATATAACGAAAATTTAATCAAATTAATACTAGACTAGGGTTAGGGGTTAGGTGATAGGGTAAGATCTTTTATATACCAAAATTTTACAAGAAATTTTTTTTGTTAGAATCCAAAAGGAGTTTCATAGACCAAATTTCGTATTTCTGTCACACACTTGCCGTGAGTAATGTATTTGCCATAGCGTTATTACCCTAAAAATTTCGCTGGCCAATCAAATTTCAAATAAACAAGAAAAATCAATAGTTTGGTACGGGATGGTTCACGCGCTTTACACTGTTATAATCAATTTTTCGTCCAACCAAGTCGTTGAATATACATACATAACCAAATCCTCTTTGCTAACTTCTTTAACATTAGATACCGTATAAGAGCGAAATAACGCCCGCCTGCACGAATTAATTGACCTGAGCGTTATTTCGAATACACCCATGTCAAAATAAGAGTAAATCCAATACAGTCAACCTTCCATAACTGCACGTTTTTTGGGTAAAAATGCATTTATAGAATACTCATTTATGGAGCATAGTCTACATATAACGATAATATTAAATAATTGTCGCAGCTGATGCTGAAATTTTTTCATATTTTATTATAAAATTATAAAACACTTTTTTTTCATAGTTAGGTTAGGGTTAGTAGGGTAGTTTTATTAATAAAAAAGTATATGTGGATTTTAGTAGGTATTATAGATTTAAATAGAGACCCCAAATTTCAGCATCAGCCGTTTTCAGCATCAGCCGTTTTCAGCATCAGCTGCGACAATAATTACATTGGACCGACTTATAGAGAGTGCACGTATAGAGTGCCGGCTGTATATCATTTATCGCAACAAATTATGTGCTACGTTATGATGCTCATGTGCGTTATTTTGAAACACGTAAGAGTAAATCAAGCTTCCATAACTGCATTTATAGAATATTTATAATCTACATAACAATAATATTAAATAATTACATTAGACCGACCGATCAGATTATGTGCACTTATCATTATAGGGAAAGTGCACTTATAGAGAGTGCACATATGGAGTGCCGACTGTATAGCAACAAGTTATGTGCTATATTAGGATGCGCATGTACGTTATTTCGAACCACGTAAAAGTAAATCTAATACAGTCAACTACACGTTTTTGGGTAAAAGTGCATTTATAGAATATTCATTTAATCTACATATAATGATTATTTTTAAAGGATCCAATTTTCAAAATAACGCCCATGAGCGTTATTTCGCGCTTATACGGTAATTTATTGAATGAAATCCGTTCAATTGCGTTCCCATGGTTCTAGGCTGAAATTTTCTGATGTAATCATTAATATTCTCATTTTGCTTATCGAGATCACATGCCAAATGTCATGTTTTAAACGTGTTATCTTTATTACAATGTACACTTTTGTTACCATTTTAATAATCGTAATATTCATTGACCGAATAGAACGGTAATCTGAATGGTATTAATCAGTAGTAAATAAGTGTTTGTAAACATGAATCACATTTTTAATCCACTGATAATAGATACTCGCTCACTAAATTAAGGTGAATAACGGCCTACGGTATTCATACAGCATTTATACAGCATGCGGCACTTCTACTTATACGGCAAATATACCGTATCGCCGTGATATCTTTGCTGCCAAAAATTCTAAACGTTTGCTCCTCTAGATGCGATATACAAAGTGCATTACGTGGTGCGATACCTAATTAAGTCCTTAATTTTATTACATCACGGGTCAATTGGGCTCGAATCAACATCATGTATCCCAATATGAACCTGATTTGAACCAAATATTTGGCGCAAATAGGAGGCAAATCGGATTCATAATACATATCGGAATGCCGATAGCTCTATAGGTAAATCGATTACAGCTGTTCCCATAAATTCTGGGACAAACTAAAAATTGCTCGTTTCCCGAAATCTCTTCGGTTTCGTCCTATGAATCATTTAATTCTCCGGAAATACAGAGATTTCGGGAAACGACAATTTTTTAGTTTGTCCCAAAATTTATGAGAACAGCTGTAAAGCTATAAAGAAAAGCTTTATCAATTTACAAATAGAGCTGTCGGCATTCCGATATGTATTATGAACCCGATTTGTATCCTAAAGATCTCCTATTTGCAACAAATATCTATTTCAAATCACGGGATACGTGATGTCGCGATTTACCTTCATTCGACATGTGCACCTTAAATTAATTTATAAGATCTTACAAAAGTTTTACTGTCATAACGGAATTAAGGCCTGTAGATTTCAACAATGTGATTGTAAAAAAAAAAAACCCCCCAAAACTCAGCAAATCTAAACTTTATATTTAGAGTTAGAACCAAATTAAGATTAAAGATTAAAGTTTCTGGGCATTTTTACTTAGTATTTCAAACACTAATTACTAAAGCCGTTTTTTTGAGAAATAACATACCTGGCAAATTTTACCTGTGAGCATTAAAAATAGTTCCAACAATATAATTATTATATTTTAGTTCGGATCGACATAAATTAGCAAATCGCGTATAAATATACCTATATCATATGACTAGAGTTTGAAACCGATTTTATTTTTCATATATTAAAACCGGGTTTTAATCGGTTTTAACATATGAAAAATAAAACCGATTCCAAGCTCTACATGTGACAGTTGATGAAACGCAAAAATGTTGTCATGACTGATACGTAATTTCATTCGCATTCGCGTACTCTAAAGGCGTTTAGGCGTTTGTTAGTTTTTCTTATTCAAAATAAATAACATAGTTCATGGACTTGAAGGATCGCTTTATTTACTGATTCTAGAACTAAAAAGTTTTCAATAAAAGGATCGTTATTTCCATATCTAAAATGTTAGAGAACGACAATAAGTCGCTTGCTGGAAATGAAGGTTCCGTCTCTGATGACGAACACTTTATTTCCATTTCAAGTGACGACGATGCTGCTTATGATGAAACTATTAATTTCGTAAAAGAATACCTTAGTAATTACAGCAATGCAAATATTGAAGTCGGTTCATCGTCGACGTCAGTGAACAAAGTGCAAGGCTATGAAGACGCTTATGTATCTGGTTCTTCTGATGATGATTATTTGGTATCTTTATTTCCACCTGCTCCTCCCGTACAAGATTATGTAGGAAAAGGGAAACAACGGGCTGATCCTATTCCTGAAAGCTTAATTTTTCACAGCAATTCTAGATATGATACTCAAGAAACGCAAACGTCTCAGGGCCAGAAAATTATTATGCCCAATGAAAATAACTCTTCAAATAACTCTTCAAATAATTCTTCAAATAACTCTTCAAATAATTCTTCAAATAACTCTTCAAATAACTCTTCAAATAACTCTTCAAATAACTCTTCAAATAACTCTTCAAATAACTCTTCTTCTACATCCTATCCGAATGAGATCACAATGGAACGAAATGTTTCTCTTTTTCCTTCTCAACCTCCAAATTTTCCTGATTGGATCACTCGAGATATAATGATACCATGCCCATTATCTAAAACACAACAAGCTTTAATTTCACATTTGATGCTGGATTATGATCTTATTCGATATTTGGAGCGAGTATCAAATAATGATGATGTTGATGAAAATTCCTTAGTCAGAACGAAAATTCGTGATGTTCTTAGAATTATCGATCATGAACCTGTAGAGGCGATAAGTGGACATTTATATAACGGTCCATCTAATAATAATATTCGTTATAATGAATCTGAAATTAAAATTTCTGTTGAAAAACTAAAGATGCTTCGATATATATTAAACAAGTTGAGATCTTTACGATTGATTATTGGCATTGCTGCATCAAGTGGTCTATCAACGGTAGTAATATTTATACAAATTATTATATATATAAAATTTATTTATTTAATTACTGTTTTATAGGATGCAATTATAAGGTTTATGGAACGAATAAGGCAACCATACAGCATAATTATGATGAATCATCGGAATTTAATAGGAAACTTTACCAAGAGCGGAAAAAACTCTCATCAACATTCTGTGTAATATTTTCCACAGATTTCACAAATTATCATAAAAATGTCATGGTAAATATATTAAACAATTTATCTCGTTCTTTATTTTAATTTATTTTTTATTTATATTATTTTAATCCACATAGCCAAAGTTAGATTTTGTGATCGCATATGATACATCTTTCAAACCAAATCAACACTTTTATTTTTCGATGGGAAATCTATCTATTCCTGTTCTTCGGCTTGTAACGTGTGAAAGTTTAGAACACGTTCTTGTTTATGGAATGATACATAAATGTTCATTTATAACCGATTCTTCGGTTGAAACATTCAGAAAAATTCTATATTATGGTTTGAAACGGGCAGACGAATATCGGATAGTTATAGGTCGCGATAGTAATAGATTTCCGTATTCTCAAATCTGTTCATCAATTTTTAAATGTGCAAGATCAAATGAGTGGGATAATCTAGAACACACAATTAGAGAATTTATTAATTTGAATATAAATCAATGGTACGAAAAAAATAAGACAATACCTGGTCTTACTATTGAGTCGATTTGGAATATTCCAATAAAAGGAGATATAACGGCAAGCACACTAGCTGAGTGTAATATTAATCTTTCTGATAGTTCTGATGATGAAATAGAAGAAAGAAATTTAGAAAGTAATGTTGTTGCCAAACGGCCAATAGTAAGAATATATTTATATATATTTTTTGTATAGATGTTTATACCTTTAGATTTAACTTTTTTTTTTCCTACAGGTCGAATCAGGATCTTCATGTCAGAAAAGATCACGGTCTAATAGAGATGAAGTACTACCAACTTCATCTGAACCATCTTCATCTCAGAAAAGATCACGATCTAATAGAGATGATATACTACCAACTTCATCTGAATCATCTTCATATCAGAAAAGATCACGATCTAATAGAGATGAAGTAATACCAACTTCATCTGAACCATCTTCATATCAGAAAAGATCACGATCTAATAGAGATGATGTACCATCAACTTCATCTGAACCTTCATCTGAACTAAAGAAACTTCTTATACAAAAAGACGTTATAATCAAGGAGCTAAAATATGAGTTGCAACAGAAGGATCTAGAAATCTCTCAATTACGCCAACAATTGATGTATAGTCAGCAGAGTTCGAGTCAGAGTATAATTAAAGCTCAAGACAGATCAGAAAAGAAAAATGGCAATGTTATTAATGGTGATGTCATTATGAGTTCTCCATCTTCTAGTAATGTGTCTTATCAAAGGCGCATCACTCCGACAGAGAACTTCCCTGAAGAATTTTCTTGTCAATTGCAAAATTGTAACAAGAGATTTGATTCTGAGAGGAAACTTCTCATTCACCAGAGGTCGGGGCATCTTAATAATGAAGTCATCATATTAGACTAAAATTCTAAGTTTGATAAAAGCTGTGAGGGTTCTCGGACATGAATTTTCTTGTTCAAAAAATTGGGTAAGAAATTTGAGTCAGAAAAACCTCACATCCATCAAAAGTTTTATAATTTTTAAATGTTAGATTTTATAATAAAAGCGTTTGTCAGCTTGATGAGATCTAATCATGTGTTTGGAGTTTTTTTTTTTTCTAAATCCTACAATTGTGTTTGTATTGTAAGTGTACATTAATTAATTTAGTGGTAAGTATATTTTTATTATATTATGTCTTTTAAGCCATTGCGTTTATATAGACACTTTTATGTGGTTTGGTTGATAACTGATGATTTTTTAAATAAATCAATAATTGGGTTTTATTTTTTGGTTGGGAGTGTACTTAGTAAATTTGATGGTAAGTTTTTGACATTCTGGCCGTCATCTATACATACTATTCTGATAAGAGTAATTAAATATTAATAAACGAAACTACATTTCTGAATATGGTGATAGATCACAAGTTATTCTCAATTAATAATTAATTCTTAGAGAGAAACATTTTATATTCTTGGTGTGGATAAGTAGGTAGTATTATATACAATATCAGATATTCTGCAATTCTGCATAATCAACTATTCACGATATTTCATATAATTTTTCTAATTATATACATATAAATTTTAACAAAGGTCAGAAGTGGATTTTCGGGTACGTAACAATCACGACATCTGATATAATGAGATAATTCGAATAAGCTCACAGCACCATATATATATAAATATATAAATTTCCAAAATAAGTTGGTAATTTTACAGTATCATTGAAATAGTTATTAAGATAGAGAGCATATCCACTCAGATGCTGGAACGATGAAACTAAGCAGCATTGATTATAGCGCGTACGAATATTTATATAACTCGTTATTTTTACACTATAATGGTGCAAGCCTTTCCGTTTTGGTAATAACTGTTTATTAACCCTTTTAATATATCTGATATATAATCTACCGTCGGATGTTTTAGTAATTTGGCAGCTAGTATTAGTAGGACTCTAGTAGATCAGTCAAAGCATGGTGTTCTGCGCGATTTACTTATTTGCGCGGGTAACACAAACCAAAAAAGGAAATCAAAATTTGTAAATAAACTAACCGTTATTTTTATTAGTCCACAAAGATCGATTTAAACACTAGTTTTTGAGTATTTTCGCTTTCCTTTCTTTTTTCTTCTGCTGATCTGGAATACCCGAAATTTGTGTTCTTTGATTGGCCATTTCCTTTTTAGAGGTTTGTATTACCCGCGCCAATAATTGGATGCGTGTTCTGCGTGGGTCTACTCGGATCAGGTTTTGGATCCAAGCCGAAAATCGAATTGTATATGGGAGAACTGAGCAGGATCCGAATATAAATATCTATATTTATAGAAACTTTAGTCTATTTTATTAATTTTTTTTTCATTTATTATAAAATTTTTATAGCCAGTTTTGAGCTAAACGCTCAGTATTAAAATCCGTACGTACTATACGTAGAGATTGCGTTTAAACGCTTAACCGTATTAACTGTTAATTCAGACGGCATTAAAATTATCCTGACCCATGGTCAACATAATTCGACCCGGCAGTTATATTTCTAAATCGGGTCCAATTTTTTTAATATTGATATACGTAATTCTTAATAGCTACGTCATAAATTAAATTACAGGCTCCCAGAAAATGTGTACACGTCACTCTTTAAATCCGCTTTATCGTTAGTATCCATTATATCAAGTAGTATTTATTATGATGTGGATCTGAATCCTGATCCATTATATCGAGATTTTACTTAGTCTCCGTTATACCAAGAGTCTGTTATATCGAGAGTGACGTGTACCAGGTTGGATTCGGACAATGGTCCGGATGATGCCCGGAAAATGTCTTCAAATTATTAACTTTTTCTTTTTATTTTCAATTATAACGATAATATAAAGCAATTACAACACATATCTGATACAATGAATAATACAAATAAACATGAATCTTTTTAATCATCTGGTTTGTTATCTGTAGCGTTCTTCGATTTATCTACTCTATGCAGTTTGATAATTCTTTGCGCCCTTCATTTCAGACTGATTAAAATTTTCTTTCGTGAAATAGATAAGACGCTAACAACGCCCCTAGCTGTCCCACAAAAAATTGTTCATCCCCTGTAATATTGGCCAATCGAATTCAGTAATGTAAAAATTGAAACGAAGCCACTTTTTTACAAAAAAACGAGAATAGCTCTAAATTTTAATTAGGAAAACACCTGCGATCTAATTAAAAATGTTCTTCGTGAAATTTTACTGATAACCTCAACCCTAATCCTGCGTTGTTCTCACCTAACCCTAACTATAACGCGGTTTAGTTTTACACGCAAATTTTTACTTAGAAAACAAAACACGTTTGTTTTGACTATCACGCTACACTTGCTCTTAAACTTTGATTGGTCAAAATTACAGGGTGAACAATTTTTTATGGGAATGCTACCTAAAATGAGAAAACGAAACCAGGGACCTAAAAAATCCATTTGATTTGTAAAGATTTGGTTAAAAAATCCGGTTTATGCCGATATAAAAAATTTTAATATATCTATTATTAACTACTAGTGCGATGGGTTCAATTGTCAAGTTTATCCATAATTATTGAATATAGTAATGCATCAAAAACGTAACTTTAGTCACGTGTGCGGACAGACAGACATCCTTTTTAAAATTATGTTCATTACTATGATGCATCAACATCGTAACTTTTGATGCATCAAAGACGTAATTTTTGATGCACATTAAGTGTCCGGAGCGTAGCGAATAGCGAAAAAGAAAGTTTGCCTTTTTCCATAAAATTTGCCCCCTTTAGAATTAAATGAGAAATTACATCAAGAATTATGTTGGCTAATTGGCCAAGAATTTTTAACCATCAAAGAAATGAAAACCTTAGCCTCTCATAATCACGAACGTATTCCTTATACCATCTTAATTAGCGACTTAGTTTTCTATAAATGACCGTCAGAGAAAGAAAGCGGAACTATTAGTTTGCTGCAAATGTGAGCTGACGGACAATAATGATATACAGTATATTTGCCGATAAAATTATTGTTGCCGATTCTGTCCAAATTCCAGAATTTAAGATCTTTAATTTATATCGGCCTAGTATATAATAAAAAGAATGGACTTCTAATTTTGAAGTTGTGTGGTATGTATCTTTGGGATTTAGCAATATCAGCAGAAATGTATATATTAATTTGAGTGTTTGAGAGTGAAAACTAGAGAAGTGAATATTTAGCGTTAGATTTTGAAATCATCACAATCGGTATATATATAGATATGAATAAAATGGAATTTCTGGCGTAAAAAGGAGTTGAGATGGTCACATGATTTATATTGATTTTGATTGGTTCAAATCAACAATAAATAGTATCGATTCTATAGAAAAATAGGTTCTTTTAAATATGAATCTAGAAAGCTTCGGTGATAATAAAGAGGCAATAATGTCTTAAGAACGCCCAGATATAAGGTATCAGTTATAAAAAACAATTCTTGAAGCATTAAATTTTTCAAACGTGAATGTACACAATTCTACTGATGTTTAAAATTTGCTATGGTGTAACTCCCAGGTTTTCATTCAGCAATACTCAAATCAACTTTAGTTACTGTATTATAATGGCATATAATATTGACAATAAATAAAAAATTTTATATCAGCCAAATCACAATGAATTTTTTGTAAATCAAACCGGAATTTTTCCGTTTTTTAACCCACACGGGTTCTACCCGGGTGGCTCATGGGTCCATTATATTGATTTACAGTATTGTGCTTTAATTACAAAATCTATTTTTATTCTAATCTGACTTTAAACTTCATGATAAGTTACCACGGGGTCTAAAGTAAGATCGGATGCCTGTTAGACTTATAAAATAAAATTATACCTAATGCCCAATGCTGTAAATTGATATATTCAAAAACTAGTTTTTGTTTGTACCGTCACTATCCGGGTGGCGTTTTTTTTTTGACGGGTCCAATCACTACTACGATAATCTGATTTTAAAAATCCATATATCACTACAATATTTCGTATTATTACTTTATATATCCTATACTACTTCTCGTATTCTGACTAGTGCTCCGAACGGGATGAAAATTTTCGGGTTAGAGCTTCAACCCGAACCGAACCCGTCCCGAAATTTTAGGGCTAATATATTAAATTTTTTTAAAAAAATGAATTCAATCGCGCTTTTTGCTCTTAAACGTTTAATAATTCATGTAACGATGATCATCGAAGTTAGCTAATCAAATCTAAGCGCAGTATGCTTATAAATTCAGCGGGCTACTACAGTAAGAATCGTGCATTACATATTCAGAATCAATGAAAGTTTTTTTATTTTTATCCTATGGATTCATGGAATTAATATAAAAAAACTTTACTGATTTTGCTGTCGAGAAATTATGTTCGAAGTTAAAAAGAATTTAGGCGATTATTAAAACAAAGGCAGCAGTTAAGTTTTTCCAAACTTTGATCAAATTAGATAGGTAATTGCTGAGATATTTTCGTTCAAAGTTTGAAAAAAGTATATAATATTATTACCAGGGATTTTTAATTTCATTAGCTTGAGATATCAACAAATATGCACCAATCAGATCTTTTTGATGAATCAAACTAATTTCAAGTAAAAAATATACGTTAAAGTTAGATTTTTTATATTAGAGCAGAACGTGGTTTCATTTAATAGCCGAAATTTCAAGTTACGTTTCGACAGTTTTTTAAAAAATGTGATTTTCACGTTATACCTATCTAGCTTTCTTAATAACTCTAGCTGCCGCAAAAAATTTCACGGCAGATTCTCGATTTTGATTGGCTAAGAGCGATGATCAAAAATTTGGCCGGAATTACTCAAAATTCTACTAATGAAACCACAGAGCCTATTAGGTGAAAATTTTTCCTGGGTCTATTTTACCATAATGCGGGAATATTTTCCAAAAATTTCTATTTTGTAATGAAAAAATCAAAAGTTAAT